TCTTGCTGGATTACATTTATGAAAAATAGGCTGGTCCTAATTTCATGGAGTAATTCCTACATCTACATTTCTCACCTGAAACTAGAAATTATGTATATATTTATTTTTATGGATTTTCTCAATAAAATTTTGGAACAAAGCTTTTTCTTCTTCCATGGGAGGACATGTCAAAGGTGGGATCTCTGTTCTTCTTTGTTCTGGATATATGTCTGGATTCTGATCACTGGATTCTGCAGATTGGCTTGGTGGTCTCCTGGTGTTCTACAAAACAGCGTCCATGGCTTTTCATTTTCTGGCTGACTGACACATTTGATGGGTGGCCGTATTCTATCAGCGGACATTGGACATTGCCTTGAGCAAGCTGGACTCGGTCTGCAAGTGGTTCTGTTGCGGGTCGCAGGCTGGCTGTGGTCCCTGGACTTTGCTGGCCAGATGGAATTGATCTGGGAGAAGCTGATAGATCGGCTCGGTGGAATTTGTCCACACTATTTGCCTGATTGGATGCGCCACCTTGAGATGTACCAGCAGACATTAAAGCAGATGGAAAATTGTTATCATCTGCCTGACTCTTTTGTTCCCAAAACAACTCTGATTACAGAATCTGGCTCTTCCCTGGCCTTGATCTGTTGACTAAATTCTTCCTGGCTGGACTATGTCGACAAGGCTCTGCCCCATACCACCCCACCCCCTCCTCTCTCACCCATCTAATCTGATTTCCTGAGCAGGCTGAAGGCCACACAGAATGAACAATTCCATCAATATTCTGAATTTTGGCTGCGCTGGTTCTGGGGAATGTATTCTTCGAGCCCCCTTATCTCACTTACTCCTCTGGCTAATGAATCTGCCCTATGCAGAAGTTTTTTCATAAACACCATGGTGTGTCACAGTGTTGATATAACAGGATGTTTTTGCTTTTTTCCTCATCTTCCATTGTGTGGTTTTTAGTTTTCTGTTGTTTTGTTGTTAAGGTAGTGCAACTGTGTTTTGCTGCATGACCGGTCTTAACTGCCCCCTCCCCCTTCCCTGAATGTACAGCACCTTGTGAATTTATTTCTGTGAAAGGCGCTATATAAATAAAACTTTACTTACTTAAGTGGAGGACTGTGCAGGACTGATTTGTCTAAGCCTTCAACAAACTGATGAGCAGGTAGCATGACAATGTTGTTGGAGGAAATGATCTGCCAAATCAAGGGGTGGCTCAAGGCGTACATACATCACTGAAATACACCAGCAAACCACCCACATAATGATATAGTGAATTTCCTATTTAATATTGTGATAGTTGGAAAACTCTCTGGAAGTTTGTTGTGTTGGACTTATTCCCTTTAATGTGTCTTCTTTCTTCTAGCCACAAACTGATGAAGACGATAATGAGGACATAACAAGGTTTAAGACTCTTTATGTAAGTGACCCTCAATCCTGGTTCTGGAGGGCCACCAACCTGAATGTTTTATATGTTTCCCTGACCTAACACACCAGATTTAATCATTAACAGACTTTTGTAGAACTTTAAAACCTGTTGAAGAGTAGGTGAAGAACTAAAATATGCAGGATAGAACACCTCTAAAGCCAGGATTTAGGACTGCTGCTTTACGCCACTGACCCTTCTTCACCAGTAGCATCATCATCATCTTCCTCTGACGTGGCAAAGCTTTCCTTCTCCTCCAAGCCCACTAACTATAACATAATCCCATGCTAAAAAGAAGAGCAGGCTATCACAGAATCTCGACTCAATCAAAATGTCTACTGCAAGGACTAGTGGACATTTGCCAAGAGCCACAAATAAAAACATCTATTCTCCTTTCACGGCCTCCTTTAACTGCTAAAATGCCTACAGGGACTGATGTTGACCAACTGACATTAACTTGATGATGTTGTCAACAGAGTTGATGTGTCTGGTGAACGTTTCTACTTCCTTAGCTTGGATTTTGACTCAGGCACCATGGTGTGGTGTGGTGTGGTGTGTTTCCAACAAGTGGAACCAAGCTACTGACAAGTTGTTTGCAGTATTACATACCACATAATTTAAACTAAAGTTTGCATGAACAGGCTTTTAGAGTGCAAACCTTACATACCTTTAATATATTCTTGGCATAGCGGGAAAATGGATTTCTATCAATATCCTGTGGCAGGGCGAGCCTATGTTGTGCCTTCACCTGTGGAGGTGCAACTTCTGTAACCCCTGAACCACGCTGCTGTCCTGGTGAACAAAAACAGACTCACAATCACATAAGCAGAACACAATACAATTAATGAAGAGTAATAATAACTTATGCAAATTGTCATTACAACTATGAAAAACAAGGCTATCTGTGTGACCATCCCAGATCTGATAAATAGTTCATCAGGTCATCATTCTGGTTTTCATGCTGATCTAGTTAGTCGGTTGAAAAATACTATACTACTATTTTATTAGTTTTAGATAAAATATGTTAAAACAGGGGTCGGGTACAATGTGCAAAGGGCAGTGGTCGAAGGCGGGGACCCTGGTGGTCCAATCCTTGGCTACAGAAGCTGGCTCTAGGGACGTGGAATGCCACCTCTCTGGTGGGGAAGGAGCCTGAGCTGGTGTGTGAGGTTGAGAGGTTCTGACTAGATTTTGTTGGACTCACCTTGACACACCGCTCTGGCTCTGGAACCAGTCCTCTCCAGAGGGGTTGGACACTCTTCCACTCTGGAGTTGCCCATGCTGAGAGGTGCAAAGCAGGAGTGGGCATACTTATTGCCCCCCATCTCAGTGCCTGTACATTGGGGTTCACCATGGTGAATGAGAGGGTAGCCTCCCTCCGCCTACATGTGGGGGGATGAATCCTGACTGTTGTTTGTGCCTATGCGCCTAACAACAGTTCAGATTACCCACTCTTTTTGGAGTCTTTGGAGGGGGTCCTGGAGAGCGCTCCTGATGGGGACTCACTCTTCTTGCTGGGGGACTTCAGTGCTCATGTGGGTAATGACAGTGAGACCTGGAGAGGCGTGGATGGGAGGAACGGCCCCCCGATCTGAACCTGAGTGATGTTTTGTTATTGGACTTCTGTGCTTGTCCTGGATTGTCCATAGCAAACACCATGTTCAAACATACGGGTGTCCATATGTGCTCTTGGCACCAGGACACCCCAGGCTGCAGTTTGATGATTGACTTTGTTGTTGTCTCATCTGATCTGCGGCTGTATGTCTTGGACACTTGGGTGAAGAGACAAATTAATTCACCAGATAATTCAGAGGAGTTCTGAGTTTGTTGAGTTTCACCACTCCAGGAGCTGTGAGCAGACGAGGCTCATTTTCAGCTCTAATTTGGTACCAAGCTCAGTTTGATGAGCTGCTTGACCCACAATGGTGCATATCCTGCTAGAACATCAACTACAGGTGCTCTATTTCAGCTAAAGAGTGGCTGCCCATCTGTCTCAGGTTAGTGAGCATCATTCATGAAACCGTCCCATTGGAAAATGCACCACATAGTGAAGTCTCTCTGAATGGTTGATGCTGCATCAAGCTGTGAAAGTTCAGAGTTTCCAACTCAGGCATCTGCCGCTCAAAAGGCTCGAAACACTTCAAAACGCACCATGCTAGATGCACCGCAGCACTTCCCAACAGCCTTGATGGAAGTAAAAAGTAAAGTAAAGGTGCTTTATTTGTCATCAGTGTATGTTTCCACACAATGACGAAATTTGTGCTCTGCATTTAACCCATCCACACCCAAGTGGAGCAGCGGGCAGCCATGTGAGGCGCCCGGGGAGCAGTTAGGGTTAGGTGTCTTGCTCAAGGACACCACGACATGTGGGTATGGCAGGGAGTCGAACCTAAGACTTTCGGGTCCCAAGTCGGCTGCTCTACCAATACACCACAGCCGCCCCTAAAGTACACCATTATAGAAAGCCAACTGGATCATAAACTCGTGAATTCTAACATGTGAACAACACTTAAGTCGTTGTTTGCGCATTGTTAACGTGTTATTGACACACTGTTTATGTGTTTCCTACGTGTTAGAATATGCATGTGTATGACCCAGTTGGCTTTCCTGGGTCACACCAAATGCGTTTTGGTGCAGCTGAGAAAAATGATTTTCATGTTGACTGTCTTGTTTTGGACTACATTGCTGGTATTATCTTTGAGAGTAGGCAGCTGAAGATAGATTCAGTGAAGACTAAAGCTATAAAAGAATGGCCTCCTCTTCAAACTGGAAACAATTGCTATGTTTGAAATCATCCAGAAACAGTGGTGGGCACAGTTCCCCTAAAGCACTAAGGCACTAATAGGGGAACTAATTTCCTGATTAGTGCTTTAGGGCTTTTGCTAATTTCTTAATTCATTAGTGGATTAACACTTGCTAAATTTATGGGCTAAATTTATAAGCAGTAATTGAGTTCTTTAATATTGATCAACATTATTCTCAACAACTGAGGGTGAAAGCTGTCACACTTGTTGGTCATGCGTGTCATTTATCTACTAGATCAGTGGTTTTCAACATTTTTGCTTCTGACCCACAAAATAACAGTTGCAGACACTTGTGACCCCATTTATTACTTSTTTAYGTAGCTAATTTTGGTAATATCTCTGTTAAATATGGGAATAATAACWWTAAACAAACCTAGTAACTATGATACTAATWTTTATTCATTTATGATTATTTAAAAAAAATTGCAGTAATCATGATTAAAATATTCCATTAGCATTTTTTTGCATTTAAATTGATATCTGGAAATCACCTGGGGACCCTCACTTGATGTTTTGTGGCCCATGAAGAGGTCCCGACCCCAACTTTGGGAACCACTACACGAGATGAAATATGAACAATATTCTGCACACAAAAGATATTGTCTCATGTTGACTCTGAGGAATGATACATGGGTCAGCTGGGTTTTTAGTGCAATAGAATTAGCTTTTGCTAAATTTTTAAGTGTGTTAGTGCCTTAGAATTAGGGGACCTAAATATTAAAGTTAGTGCTTTAGGGTTAGTGCAACTAATTTTTAGATTAGTGCTGCCCACCACTGTCCAGAACTACAGCCAGGGAACAGGATGATTCAGAAAACTTATCTCCACAGCTTTGGCTTTTGTTTGGACACCAGAAGACATTCTGAGACTTAAACAGTCATAGTTCACCCTGACCCTAACAAGTTTGGTGGTTGCTATTATGCTACTGTATATGTATAATATACTGTACTGTACTGTAGATGTATCTCGGTTATTCAAGTAGAAAAATCAAAACAGTTTAGTAGATATTTCATTAAAGTAGAAACTGTCCAGATGACTTATTAAACTTTTTTGAAAAGTGTATATATATATACTTTACCTGCAAATACTGTAAGTAAACTTTTTAAAGCTTCTCGTTCATGTGTCTGCTCCTGGATTCAGAGTTTCTTCCTGTACTGACACACCTGAGAGGCCCAAAGGAAAGCTAGGAGCTCGGATTTGTTTGAAGAGCCAAGTACGAGTGGTTAATTCACCTAAACTACTAAAATAAAAGGAATTCTCAAGCAAACCAAATGATTAAAACAGTTTTCATTTTCAGTGCATGAAATGTTGTATTTTAAAAAGATTGGAGCCCTCTGCATGCCACTCTTTGGTAGAATGGGAGATTTTTATTCCAGTTTACCAAGGTATTACTTTTTATCTGTATTATTTATAAAACCTTTTTATTTTCTGTTGATTTTTTTTAAGTTTTTGTTTGATGTAGTTGTTAATGTGACTTGTAAAAGAGCTGATCAAGTTTTTCCCACTTTGTTTTCCAATCTAGACTGATTGTTATGAAGTTATACATTTTTGTGAATGTTGGCTCAGGTCTGGTTTGAACCAACACAAACACCACTTTTTTCTAACCTGCATTTAACATCTAGTTCTGTAAGCAAATCGTATTTCCTTGATAGGACTGCTTTACCCCACATTGTTCGTAATAGTTACTGAATGTGCCAAAAGCAGAGTGTATGGCTTCCATCCACTTTGCCTCACAAGACTTTTTAATCTATCAGTGAATCTCCTCAACTAAACTGTAAAAAATGATGTGTATTTATTATTTGGCAACACCATTTCTGATTCCACTTCATTCTGGCCCAGGCTTTGGGCCCCACAAGGAGCACCCGGACCCCACGAGGCTGCGTTTTCCTTAAAACTGAGGACACGCACACACACACACAAAATATGGACCATAAAAAGTAATCAGCTTATTATAAAACTCACCTGCTCCACTGCGAAGTCTGGCAGACAGCTCAGCAGGAATCTCCAACATGCCTACGTCCTTTAATGTGATCACAACCAGATGTAAAAATTAAGTGAAGAGATTTGGTTCTTATGCGGTCCAGCTTTAGTTTGATCAGCCTATTCTCTTACCATCCCTGTAGAGATAGGCGTTGTCTTCCTTCTTGGTTTTACTTTGTCCTTTTCATGAAATTCCTGAAATCAACAGAGACAAACTTCTGTCAGTTTTCATAAGACCTATTTATTTAGTAATCCAAACATCAAATTATTATTTTTCCTTCACCTCAGGTTTGCTGCTGACTTCGTGTCTGATAATCCTTTACTTAGCAATTTTAAATATGTTCATGCTCCGTTATCACTCCCTGAGCCTTAGATCTATTCTTAGATGCACAAACAGTTATATACCTGCTCTGAAGCCACACCCACACACATGTAGCCCCGCCTCTCACCACAGGCCACACAGTTCCCAAAGTCCAGATAATTGTGTTTTTATTACATTAACAGCTTTAAAAACCAGACTCCATAATGTCACAGTGTTGTGACATTGTTGCTCAGATATTGTGATTACAATTAAAACCCAATTTTTTCTACATTTTTACATTTTTACACTTTATGTTCTACTTTTGTATTTAGCTGTTACATTTGCTGACAAAAAATGGTAATCACTCAAACTGGAGGGTGGGAATAAAAATAAAAAAACAGCACGTGTTGAAAGGTGACTTTCAGGAGGATAACAGATCAGATGGATAACAGAGTTGGCAGTACAGGAACACCAACAACACAATTGAAAAAGAAAAAAATTGTATAGGTCTTCTGGACGGGTTCTTCTCTAATGAAACGTTTCGTCTCTCCTTCAAGAGACTTCTTCAGTCTGAGAGTTTCAGGCAAAATTCAGGCTTTTAAACACTGCCTCCATGTGACTGATACTCACATCACATGGCCATCGTTGACACCTAATTAACACCTATTGTTAACAGGGGGTGGAGTGATACTGCCAATGGCAGCGCTGTAGGAGGGGGACAACTGAAAACGGAGGCCTCCACCTCTGTTTAATGATGGACGGTCTTAAACAGAGGTGGAGGCCTCCGTTTTCAGTTGTCCCCCTCATACAGTGCTGCTATTGCCAGTATCACTCCACCTCCTGTCAACAATAGGTGTTAATTAGGTGTCAACGATAGCCATGTGATGTGAGTATCAGTCACATGGAGGTAGTGCTTAAAAGCCTGAATTTTGCCTGAAACTCTCAGACTGAAGAAGTCTCTTGGAAGAGAGACGAAACGTTTCATTAGAGAAGAACCCGTCCAGAAGACCTATACAATTTTTTTCTTTTTGATTTTTTACCCGGATTACTGAGATGCATCAGGACAACACAAGTGAAATTGTGCTTACTGACACACTGATGGTGTTGTTTTACAGCTGCTCTAAGGCAGAAAAGTAGGCTTTTCAAAGGGTGGTCAAATCAGCATGGACAGTCGTGGTGACTTGCCTCCCAGAGCTCACCCACTGTCTTCACTTCCTGCTGCTCGCACCAAATTCACAACATCATTCAGCGATTGAACAAACAATAGATTATTGTAATATTTATGTAGATATGTGACAAGTGATACTTTAAACATACCCATAGCCCTATTAACTTTCTGTTTTACCCAAGGAGGTTCTATAGAACAGCTGGAGTGTGCAGAAACCAGGTGACCGTGTGATCGGCTGGTGAAGCTAACGGCTAACGCTAAACAGACAAGACTCTGGATTTCCCATCACTGTACATGTTGACAACAGAGAAGAAAAAAAAGGACTGACGATGTAGAAATCCTTAAAACTATTAAAAATAATATTAATCCAATTATTATCAATATTTCACAGTTTATATAATCTATCTAAAGTTTTAAATAATGCCAGAAAAGCTGTTTGTGTTATGGATTTGTTAACAGAAGATAAACAGGAAAATGTCTCATTTTACAACAAGTCAGCAGATTTGATCTTATTTAGCTCAACGTGATCTGAGCAGAACATAATGTAACAGTTTCTAATTGTATTTATGAGTAAAACAAATGCAGGTTTGACTTTGAAATGAAAAAGCATTTCTGCTAATGCACTATAATTTTCCGATTTGACTTTTCAAAATGAATTTTGGTCAATTTTTACCAGGACATGTTTTGAAAATTAATTGTCAATGTTTGTTTTATTTAACATTTTAATTAATTTGTACTTTGAGCAGCCTTGGAAAAGAAAATGATAATGCAGTTTGGATTATTTAGTTCTAATTTTATTTATGAGTAAACAAATGCAGGTTTGACTTTGAAATGAAAAAGCATTTCTGCTAATGCACTATAATTTTCCAATTTGACTTTTCAAAATGAATTTTGGTCAATTTTTACCAGGACATGTTTTGAAAATTAATTGTCAATGTTTGTTTTATTTAACATTTTAATTAATTTRTACTTTGAGCAGTCTTGGAGAAGAAAATGAATGTACAGTTTGGATTATTTATTTATAATTTTACTTATGAGTCAAAAAATTCAGGTACATGTTGAAAATGAAACAGCATTTCTATTAATCCATTTTAATTAGGATTTTGGAACAAAATCGCTTCCATACTTCAAAACCACCACAGTAATCTGTGAAAAAGCCAAGGCTGAATTTAACATTAACATAGACATAGAGCTCCTTTTTGAAGATGAAAGTTGCCTTCCGTCCAGCTCTAGTGGCAAAATGTCTATACTTCTCAGTCATAATCCCAGCCAACAACTCTGTAGGTCATGGACCTTCTGAGCTCTCCAGTAGACCCATTAGTCAAATATTATTTTGCTTAGAGTGAGACACTAAGTCTTCACATTTCTTGCTTCATGTGTCCACAGCTGCAGCTCTGCAACATTGCCTCCCATGCTAATTAGATGGTTGTTATGCTCGTTAGCTTTGCTGTCAAGATAAAAAATAGATTCATTTTGCTGTTTTAGATCGGCCGCCACTTCTTAACAAACTCTAATATCACTGACTCAAGTCTGGAGGTACTTTCAGCTTGTAGATCAGACATCATTATCCTGATGTACATCTCCTCATTCGCAGCCAGCTTTTTCAGTAAATCTGCCTCAGAGGTCTGAAGGCGTTGTTTTTCTATGGCCAGCTCTGGCAGACTCAACAATTTTCCAGATATGGCTCAGAGAATGTAGTTTCTATAAGTTTTCAAAGACAGTACATGATAATTATTATTTATCATGATTGCATTCCCTCAGAGATCCAGTAAAACACGTCCTACTCCACATGCATTCACTAAAAGCCCTACCTGAGAACGCCACTTTAAAACGTCTAAATATCCCTTTAAGACTGAAGATGGCTGTTAATTATTGAAATAAATTATGTTTTTTTCTATTTAAATAAATCCAGTTTGGTTCATGACTCTAACATAGGACCACAAAGCCCTATTTATGTTTCATAAAAATTATAAACTAATATATATATATATAATATATATATATATATATATAAATGATAGTTTTATATACTGAGAAAACTCTGACATTAAACAGTTAGGTTGAATCAGCTGACAGGCTGTCTGCTCCACGGATCACAGTGCAAACCTCATTAATTAATAACAAACAACTTGATAGTACCGAAGCACAGGCAACATTAAGGAGAAGCTTTAGACTTAGTTTAACTCATAAAGACCTGGTGGAACACACTGTTAAACTCAAAGGATGTCTCATGTCTTAATGGAAAAAACTAAATAAAATGAAACATCCTACAATGTTCTCTGATGCAGACAGGTGTCTCTGTCATGAGATACATTTCTGCTACACAAACTGTCCACAATTACAGAAACTTCAATTCTAAACAAATATTCAGCCCTAATGTGATGCTAAACGTGAAAGAATAATGGAGAAAGGCAGTCTACCTGTAAGGCTGGAAGTCTCAGGAACAGGTTTCACAAAGAAGGCGGAAGGAAAGATGCTTCAAATTTCACTCAGAGGTTGAAGTCCAAGAACAGACTGTGGCTGAGCAGTATACTGCATGTGTGGGAGTGTGTGACATGACTAATGAAGATAAGAGGGCTGGTTAAACTACAGCAATGAAATTTTATGAAGGAAATTATCAAAGGTTAAATATGTAAGAGAACAAACACACCCAGATGAGAAAACTATATTGTTAGGACTTTAATCTAACTATTTACAGAAATGTTTTAGGGCAGCAAAAAAAAGGTGAAGCAGTTCAAAAATACTTCTGGCTTATTCATAATCTGATGATATATCCTTAACTAAGCTGAGTTGTGTATAACATTTCTTCAGAGCTTTTAAATAAGAAAAGGTAGAAAGTTGAAGTACAGAGAATCCAAAGTGAAATAAATTAAAAAAGCCAAAGTAATAAAAATGAAAAGAGACAAACATGGACACTTTGACAGCAGCCATGTTGATAAAGATGTTCTCTGTGTGGTCGTAATGTGTCTGTGTTGCGTAAGAGACTATTAGTACTGGTGTTTATGGTCCAATAAAGTCAGAAAATATCAGGTTACTATGACAGCTGCGTTACACCTGGACATGGTGTGAAACTTGTCCACCCATGTTTACCTTCCTCCAGTGACGTGTCTTGATTGTGTTCCTGGTTATCAGCATCACTGCCCAAAACTGTGAGAAGGACTGCTTCAAACGTTTGAAGTACTTCCTGAAGAAAGGGAGAGGGCAGCAACACTCAGTTTCATTTATGTCCAACACATGAAGATAGAAATTAATTTGTAGAAATAAATAATGTAAGATCTGAGTTTTGTAAAATCTCATGTGGAGTGCCTCAGGGTTCCATTCTCGGACCTAAGTTATTTATTTTGTATGTGAACTATTTGGTAAATGTATTAGATATTTTTGGGTGTGTTCTATTTGCTGATGATACAACATTATTTTGTTTCGGTAATGATACTGAATTAATGTTGGAGATGGTACAGACAGAATTTATGAAAATAAAAAGTTGGTTTCAAATTAATAAATCATTAAACTTGGACAAGACAAATTATGATTTTCTGTAACAGTAAGAGAACTATAGATGTTTCATTTAAAATTGTTGATGTTGAGATCAGTAGAGTCAGTGAAGTGAAGTTTCTAGGTGTCATTATTGATGAAAAACTGACAAGGAAAAAATCATATAAATGGTTTAAGAACAAAAATGACCAAATCTATTAGAGTCCTGTACAAAGTAAGAGAACTGTTCAATGATAAAGCACTATTTATCATTCTATTGATCTGTTTTATTGTTTTTAATTATTTTTGCTTTCTGTGAAGCACTTTGTGATGTTTGTGTCTGTGAAAGGTGCTATAGAAATAAAGTTTACTTACTTATGTTGTATAACGCTATAATTGTTCCACATTTAATTTACTGTATTGAAGTATTGGGTGAAGCTTGTAAATGTGAGGTTCGGACAGGAACAGATCCAGGGCGCAGGCAGGCTCAAAAATATAACAAAAATTTATTTATAAATAACTAAAGGAGGGCTGCTGGCAGCAAACTTACAAGTATGGAGAGTCACAGGCACGAGGAACACATGGAACAATCAACAATGATCCAACACCAGACTGGGACAGGACAGGGTTTAAATACACAGCAAACTAATCAGGGAACAGAAAACACCTGGAGAGAAACACAAGGGTAATCAGCAGAGTGATGAGGGGCAGCTGGGCAAAGACACACTGGGGAACATAGAAAACACTAGGAAAACTAAGAAAATAAACACAGATCATGACAGTAAAACTATCACAAATCCTATTTTTATTTTACAGAAAAGAGCTATAAGAATTATTACTAGAAAAAATAACAACCATCCATCGAATATATTGTTTTATGATTTGAAATTATTAAAATTTGATGATTTGGTCGATTATAATATTTTACTGTTAATGTACAGAGCTCATAAAGGTGTGTTACCTTCCAACATTCAGGTAAATTTTGTTAAAAGASAGAGCTGTTATTATCTTAAGGGAATAGAAATGTTTCAGAAACCCTGGGTTCATACGAGCCTGAAGGAGAGATCCACTTTAATCCAGGGAATAAGATTATGGAACAGCTTAGAAGATCTTTGTTTATATTGAAGAGAATGATAAAAAATAGTTTTCTGAAGAAATATGGAGAATTATAAGTGAATTCACGCTAATTGTTTTTTGAGTTGATGTCTTTTATTTTTAATTCATTTTTAAATGTTTTAAGTTGTTTTGATTTTTGCTGTATTTTTACTTTTCTTTTGAACATATTTTGGTTAAAAAGGGGCAGATATTATAAGATTTATTCTTCTTCTGCTGCCTTTCATTTTATTTGATTTTATTTTGATTGCATGTTTCTTGTACTTTATTTATCTGTGTTACAAATGAAATGAATAAAGAACTACTACTACTACTACTAATACTTCTACTACTGCTACATATGTCCTTTAACCCCTACATTCAAAATGTTACCAGGACCGCCTTCATCCAACTGCGTACTATTACTAAAATTAGAAATATCTTGTTCAAAAATGATGCAGAAAAAGTGATCCATGCATTTATCATGTCTAGGCTGGACTACCAGCATTTCCTCTACCATTATCGGGGGGGGGGGGGCTGCCCCTCCAAGAATTTCACAGCTTGTACTCATTTTTATTTAAATAGGGCCAGATCAAGTCGAGATATTTTTGCGATCACTCCACACCTGCCTCTCACCAAACTTGGCGGAAAAAAAAATAAGACGCACAGCAGAGCTGCAAACAAAGTGAGGACATTGAAGAGGTCCTCACTTTACATCAAAGACTTCACTTTGATAGTAACTATGGTGCAAATGGTCCTCACTCTGTAGTCAAAACGAGTACACACACACACACACACACACACACACACACACACACACACACACACAC